AGCTCAGTGCCTATGACATCATCAACCTCCAAGTACTCCTTGAGAAATCCTTCAACCATGACTCTAGGGACACTTGTAAACACATATTTAGATCCTGTTGAAGCCAGAACCTCATAGGCCTGAAGGTTGAGGTTGTCAAGATAAAACTTGGGCAAAACAGCCCTGCCAACACTCTCCATGTCCTTTCTCCTAAGCCCACAAAAGGTGATGAAAATCATGACCCTTAGCTTGAGCTCATAGTCCAGAACCAGCAAAATGGGGCATGACAGAAGCAAGAGAAAGGCTCTGATAATGCTGCCACCTTCAAAGGCAACCAACATGAAGTAAGGGAAGACAGATTGGGATTTCAAAAGGGCTCCAAAAATGTCACATGCAATTGTGGAACAATCTCTACCCTCCAAAACACACTTGGTTACACTGGGAAATGAAAAGGGCGGTTGTTGTTGGGATGGCTTGTTAGGAGGAGAAGAGTTGCCAAAAAGGAAGCCATAGTTTCTAACTTTCCTTGCAGCTCTGTGACATGAATTTGCTAGCAGCTGGTACCAGACTAAATCTATGAGCTTGATAAGTACCACTGGGAGGACCATAGTTCAAAGATGTTATGAGTTATGACAAAGGAAAAGAGAGGAAGGCAGAGGAAGGCAGAGACAGAAACAGAGGAGGGTTTAAATGGAAGGGTTTGTGAACAAGAGGAAGGGGCTGCAGTGTATATTTATAGGACACAATTAAAGAGTGAGAGGGAAGGTTGACCAGAAGCATTTGGTTAGCCACACCGTTGGCATTAATTCAAACCTGAACTTCTTTTTCTTTTTTTTTTCTTTTTTTCTGTTTTGATTTTGATTTTGATTTTTTATTTATCTTTTGTTATGAACCATCTTTACAAGTGCCTTAACTTATGCAAATGCCCTCAACATGTTGCCAGGCAACCCCTTTTTCCTTCCTTGGCCTGCCAAAAAAACCCAGTAGGTTGGATTGTTGGTGAATGCCTTACCATAATTTGCTATTTCTCTCTCTCTCTCTCTCTCTCTCTCTCTCTCCCAATGGCATTGGAATGTGTGCACATGCATAAGGATGCAATTGACCATCCACAGCATGGGGAAAAAAGAAGGGAGAAATGGATTTCATTCAAATATATTTTAATCCAGGAGGACCACTCCAAGAGTTAGATCACCCATACACCATCTGATTTGTTGACTTTTTTCACCATTCAAAAGCTTGCAGATAGTCTTTGACTTTCTTTAGTAATAACTTATAGGTAACAACAATTTCTCCTTTCTGGTTTTCCCAAACAGGCCAACAGTACCATGCATTCATACTTAAATGTATCAATGGAATAATAAATTGTAATTATAATTCAATTCTTCATCTATTAAAAATTTATGATGAGTCTGTCTGTTCATAATTTACAGATTCTTGTCTGCATAAATCAACACAGCCTTGTCTGTGTGAAGCAACCAAAGGGTTGTTGAACAAAAAGAAAAATGTATTTCTGTGAAATATTAGTCAGAGATTCAGTAGGCATGATTCTGTTGCAAAATCTATGAAAATCAATTGGTTTTTTTTTTCTTCGGTTTTTTTAGTTATTTTTGGTATGGCAGTTAAGATCATGCAATTCTGATTAGCAGGTTGGTGAACTCTTAATCATTTGATATGGATGTTTGGTTACCATGCACATCGTTTGCATGAAACCCTAGAAGATTCACAAACCTAAACGTGAGTTTTTTATTCCTTTCTTCTTCTTCTTTTTTCTAATTTTTGTTTATGTTTTCCTGACTGTTGAAATAGAATTCATCCAGTATGGATGCTTGAAAGCTAGCTAGCACACGATAGTGACGACAGCTTTTCAAGGAATGAGATTTCTGTTCCTATTAAGAATTGGTCCACAGCAAGGACAGGTGACCCACCTAAAATAAATGAAATATTGGCCTCCAAAATTAGCTTATTGGGAACATTGTTTTGACAGTTAGGGTTGTAGTACGAAATAATTGGTTCGTTGTTTTGGTGAATAGATGAATTCATGGCCAAAAAAGACCCAAAAATAAAAATAATAAGAAGTGATGAAATTTCTCAATCTGTAATGGAACACAATTTGAATTAAAATTAAAAGAAGTTTAGAAATAAGTGACCAAATTTGATGAACTAGGTTTTAACAATTGAATTCAATGAAGATCTCCATACTGTACATTTAAGAGAATTTCTTCCATACGATTGTTATAGTGCGACTACCATTCACAGACACGACACGGATGTAGAGATCCGTGAGTGGTGGCCTCACGGCATACAATTTTTCAAACCCTGGGAGCTGTCATCGCCGCACAACGCTGGTATACGGCAAGTGCTAACCCTTCCATGCTTGGGTGTCACCCAAATGATCATCACAGTGATGTCACATGGGAATAGGATCCACCATAAAAGATGGTGCACTTTATTCTAAAGGCGTCAACAAGGTGAGAGGATATGAACCAAAGTTTGACTGTGCTGCTCCGAGCACCTTCAGTTTTCTCACTAAATAAATGAAGGGATGGGTATGGTTAGAAATCAATTCTCTCTACACGCATATATAAATACTCTGCATCTGAGTATTGTGTGTAAATGTAGTAGGTCAACGTACAGAGAAATGATCTTACACGTGCCAGCACACTAAGATTGGATAGTCAAACCCTGTTAATTACCATTTACTCTCTGTCGATATTGGGAATTTGAGTTTCGAGCATCTGGTACATCCATCACAAGAATTGACCAAGTGCCCACATAAAATATATAGGGAGTTTTACTAAAACACCTAAAATGGGAGCTGAAATTATAAAAAAATCCAACACCCAAAACATTTTATAAACACACCCAAAATCCATCATTACACACACTCAAAACCCATTTATAAACACACCCAAAAAGTTGACTTTGGGGTTGATTTTGGGTGTGTTTCTATGTTTAAATAGTGTTTGGGTTTTTTTATAAATATATGTCTAGGATTGAGTTTATTTATAAATTTGTAAAATATATAATATTGGGAAGAGGATGCCAATGTCCTATCCTATGTTTGGCTTTGGCATGTACTTCTAAAAAAAATAAAAAAAAATACAAACAATACTAGAAAAAGGAATATCGATATAAGACCTCGGATGACGAAGTAAATGCTGTTAAACACTTGAGTTACAAGTTTATTATTTTTCTCTTTTTTTTATTACATATTCTAATGTATGGCATGTCAACTACTATTTAAAATTTAGTCTGCAAAGGACCTATTAGTATAGTGATTTGGAGTATTTGCTACTGCAGGAAAGATTCTGTGTTCGAATCCTAACATCTCTGTAGTGTGTGTGAGTTTAGTATGTTGTCCCTCTCAATATGAAAGGTCCTAAAAAAAAATCAAAAGATTGCTATTGACAAGAAAAAGACAAAAAGATCCACTAAATAGTTAGGTAACTTGGGTAGAGTCAGCTAGTAAGAGCAGCCAAACATGTCTTTACAAGTTAGGGTTAATCGTTTTATATTAGTCCCTGAATTTTGACTCGATTTGCATTTGATTACCTCAATTTTCAAAATAGTTCTCTTGGTCCTTTAACTTTAGTTTCGTTTGGACAAATAGTCATGCCTTCAATTTTGTTAACTTTTTCTGTTAAATATAAGGGCAAAATGGTATTTGTATAGAGATTTTTTATTTAAACCTCACACTTCTCTTAGTTCTCCCCATGATCTAAGTTCACCCCAACTTTTAATTTAAATTTTACAAATTTATAAATAAACTCAATCCTAAACATGTATTTATAAAAAAACCCAAGCACTATTTAAACATAGAAACACACCCAAAATCAACCCCAAAGTCAACTTTTTGGGTGTGTTTATAAATGGGTTTTGAGTGTGTGTAATGATGGGTTTTGGGTGTGTTTATATGTTTAAATAGTACTTGGGTTTTTTTATAATTTCAACCCCTATTTTGGGTGTTTTAGTAAAACTCCCTTTAAATTTTCACAATTTCTAAGAAAACCCTATTATTTTTCCAAACTACCCTTAAATACACCCCAAGCTGAAAAAATAAGAAATAAAAGAAATTTTCTATTTAAATCTCACAAGCTACCTTTAAAGGAGGAAGTACGTTATGCGCATGAGAAATAGTAAGTAATGAAATTAGTTTTTTTGTACACACACATGGGATTAAGAGGTTGCAAAGGGAAGTTTCATATTTCATGAAGTATGAAACACGCAATGGTGTAAGTAGCCGCTAAGTTTGATCAAGTCTCCTGACCAAATGGGTCAAATTGTTAAATGAATTTGACAAACACTTGATTTGTTGACAATGTGAATTTATAGATTGGAAAATTTTTTGTGCATAGCATGTGATTCTTATTTGATTTCTATCTCCAAATGCCATCTAGAATTTTCAAACATTGAAACACTATGTACTGAAGCTTTAGGCACTTTGGGTTGATTCATTGTTTCACTTCCTCTAGCTCAATTGTACCTAAGAAATGGATATATATATATATATATATATATACCATAGGAGATAAACAGGGAAGAAGGTGTAACCTGATAAAACTTTATAAAAGTTTACAAAACCCAATATGTCGAATAAAAATGTTAAGTATTAAGTTGGATGACATTTTTTGTTTTTTTACACAATAATAAAACTTACAGCTTAATGATTTAAGTATTGGGGTGAATAAAGAGAAGTGTAGGGTTTAAATAGAAAATCTCTTTTTATATTAAAACCAACAAAATGAATAAAAAATCATATCTTTAAAAAAACAATAAAATCAAATCAAATAAAAAAAACCAACAAAAAATAAATAAATAAAGTTTAAGGGAAGTAGAAATCAGGATAGAGGGAGAGAGAAAGAGAGAGAGTTTATTTTTAGTTTTTACAAATTTTATTCATATTTTAATCAATTTTGATACAAAAATATCATTTTGCCCTTGAATTTAACAGAAAAGTTAACAAAATTGACGGCATGACCATTTGTCCTAAGAATCACGGAACTATTTTAGAAGGATTTAAATTCAAGGACTTATAAAAGGAATAACCCTTACAAGTTATAATTCTCACTATCTCTCCCTAAAACCCTCTCCTGTCTGTCTGTGGGAGCTTGTGGGCTCTGTTCCTCTTACAAGATAGACGGCCATGGAAAACTCACAGAAGAAGCAAGTGTTCCTATTCTACTGCGCTGAATGTGAAGACCTTGCTCGACAGGTCGCTTCTCAGTCTGACCACATAACCCTCCAGACCATCAAATGGAGGTTCTCTCTTTCTCTCTCCTCAAACTTGTTTTGTCGTGCTCTGTGCTCCTTTATTTGTTCCTCTTGATAATCTGCTTTCCTACCCGTTTTATTAATTCTGCTTTGTTTTGTTTCCTAGTCATGAATTTGAGATGGGTTCTTCTTTTTCAGCTCACTTTTTCAAAAGAAAAAATGGGCACTTTTCTTTTCATCTGTTATTTCTGAAGGTTGTGATTCAATGAATATTAACAGAATACAAAACCAAAAGAGCGAAACTTGTGATCTTCTGTAAAGCTGTGCATACAAGAGTTTGGAAAAGTGGAGAACTTGAATGCTGAATTAATTGATTAGTCAATGCTAAGTAAAAAAATAAAGAATCTTTCAGACCAAAGAAGTGTAATTGAGAAAGATTTATATGAGGGATGCCTTCTAGTTATCAAAAATTTGACTATCCCACTGTATTTTACTTATAATTTTACCAATTGAATCCCTTGTCATAGATTCCTAGATGGGGGCAGTGGTAAAGGAAAGTTTTAGACTAGCATATTTAGTACAGGATGTGTAAGATAAGTGGGAGTACTGATTGGATCGTATATATACAGGACTTTTGATGATGGATTTCCGAACATTTTTATAAACAACGCACAAGACCTTCGAGGCCAACATGTTGCCTTTCTTGCATCATTTAGCTCTCAAGGAGTTATCTTTGAACAGCTTTCTGTAATATATGCACTCCCCCGTCTGTTTGTTGCATCGTTCACATTAGTTTTGCCTTTCTTTCCAACTGGTTCCTTTGAACGAATGGAAGAAGAAGGGGATGTAGCAACTGCATTTACCATGGCAAGAATGTTGTCCAATATTCCCATATCAAAAGGTGGCCCAAACAGTGTACTCATCTATGACATACATGCTTTACAGGTTTGTCTGCATATCCTAGTTTTTTTGTTCTTCTCTTATTCTCATGGACGAGCCTTTTAGTAATTAAACTGGCTAAGATTTTCTGATATAAATTTTTCTATCAAGTAATTTGTACATGATGCTGCCGAAAACTTTGTATTTGAGTTACTCCAGTTACAGATATTTATGCATACGTACCATTCCATCTAGTCTCCTTTTCATTAAGGTGTAGTGCAGTAGTGTAATAATAGGATGCAGTCGATCATCCAAACACCTCATGCCCCTGCAGTTCTCATTCTCTGAAATTTGTTTCTTAACTCCACTCTAAGCATCATAAACAAACTTTTCATTTGTAAGTGATGAACAGAAATTTGTATAATAACAATTATATACTCCCTAAAAAAACAATCATATACATCTGCAACCTAAAAACTTTTTTAGGTCAACGTTTTTCTGCAACTTATTACCACACCCCTATTTCTATGATAATTTGTTCTTTTCTCTTCTTTCTTTAGCTCACCAGTATTTGGCCTCTGTTTGCAATTCTCATTTTCTCCATTTTTATGATTTCACATGGGTTGGGATTGTACATTGTTGATTGTCATTACCTTATTGACTGAATATTTGTGTTCTGTACTTCCTTTCTTTTTTGCAGGAAAGATTTTATTTTGGGGACCATGTTTTGCCTTTGTTTGAGACTGGAATTCCACTCTTGAAGCAGTGTCTCCACCAGCTTCCCGACTCTGATAAGGTGAGTGTGCGGCAGTGTCTTCCATGTGTCTCATAATGAATCGTTATAATCATTTTTTGGCTTTATTTGCCTTGTCTATAAATGCTTGCCAAGTGGCTTTATTCTCTGTATTTATGATTTCCATTCTAATTAAAGTCACCTCTCAGATAGTTGTTGCATTTCCTGATGATGGAGCATGGAAGCGATTCCACAAGCAGTTGGATCACTTTCCCATGGTTGGTTTGAACTTTTGCTTAAAGTGAGAATTATTTCTATTATCATTTTAAATCTCACCTTTATGAATTGGATGTTTTTTTAATGGCAGGTGGTGTGTAATAAGGTTCGTGAAGGTGACAAGAGGATAGTTCGGATCAAGGAGGGAAATCCTGCTGGTTATCATGTAGTCATTGTTGATGACTTGGTGCAATCTGGCGGCACCTTGATCGAGTGCCAGGTATATTTCCAATGGGTGACCCCTACTTATCAATACCTTTCTTCCCTACTCTTTATATACTCATGAACCTGTTGCTTCTGAATTTTGACATGTTTAAGTTCTTTCAAGATTGCAAATCTTCATGGTATCACTACAGGTCTTGGCTGTAGTTTGTATTCTGAATATCATAGAGCTAGCTTTTTAAAGCTTGGCCTAGATTGTGGACCTCTTGTCCACGCTAGGAAGTTTTGTTGTAACTATTAGTGTTTATCAATAAAGCCTTTGTATCTGTAATTGGTATGTGTACATCAGAAACATAAAAGCATTTCAAACATTTATGCCATGCTTTCGGAACTTGGAAGTATTCCGTAATCATTCCCTTTGTGTCTTTTATTCTGGCAGAAAGTTTTGGCTGCTCATGGTGCAGCCAAGGTTAGCGCTTATGTCACCCATGGTGTATTATGTCATCTTTGTAATTGTAATTTCTGTGTTCCTTATTGCCAGTTGATTTGATTTTCAGAAGGCTCGGAGAAGGCATTCGCCTACTTTTGGATCACGGATTCCTGCCCGCTTACTGTCAAAGCCGTGGCAAATAAAGCTCCTTTTGAGGTGTTAAGTCTTGCAGGTTCCATTGCTGATGCTCTACAGATTTGAACGCATGCACTAAAAAATACAGTTAGACAATTTGCAATACTTATGACATCATTATTCTGCCGGCAAGTTCTGATATAAGTAGGTGATTTCACATTTTATGTTACTAATGAGTCATGACACATGACTGAAATTCGGATTGCTTCTAGAATTCCGCATTTAACGTTAGAACTTGCCCTGTTGTAACTCTCAGCTTTATAATGCGTTCACAAAGACAATAATTTAGTTGAGTTTGTGCCTCCCATGTGTTATGTATGGCCTGAGCTGCTCATTAATCTGTCACCTACTTTACAAGCCATACGCAAGGGAACAACTAAACCTTCGTAGCAACCAAACTGAAGATGTTACTCAATCCACTACATGGTTGATTTCTGACTGTCAATACATGTGGAGTTCACATTTCGTCAATGGTCTGAAAACACCCACATGGCCAACTAATCTTATCAAAATCCTTATACCCTTTCCTGGCTTGCTCTTCTAATATATTTTTTGTTTTTTAAACAATATATTTGGGTGGAACGTTGCGTCTAGCATGCCCTGTACTCGTGCCTCGCGTGACACAAACATGCATTGTCCAATTGAAATGAATCGTGCTCAGTGCCATGTTTGTGCATGTTCAACCTCTTTTACACCTACTTTGACCAACATTCTCTTTGAAAATCCCAGCAGGCATATCCAACAATGAACTTTCAAACAAATGACATTGAGAGATTAAAATTTTGTGTGCGCACCATGTCAGAGAGAGAGAGAGAGAGAGAGAGAGAGAGAACATCTGTACATCCATATATTTATTTAATTCAGTACAAAGTTTTTTGGTATATGACAACACCGACCCACTATGAACATGACGATTCTGTTTGTCTCCCTTCTATACAACCTTGAATTTTTTTCCCCCTTAAACAGCCCTGAAGCCCTATTACCCAACAGGGCATTTTAGCCATATGAACACGTAAAATCATATTTGCAGTGGGATTTTAAAGACCCAGGACACTACAAAAAACAACAAAAGGAAAAAACCAAAAGGAGAAATTCTGCACAAACCGTTGAGCAATGCATATGGCTGCAGAGAGACTTCACAATTCAGCTATATGCTTCACCTTATTCTAATCCCTTGGTTGAATAACAATTTGCACTCTACAAATTAACAAAATGCTCTCTGCCCGCTTTCCCTTCCATACTTCCTCAGTAAATATCAGAGTTATCCAGTACTCAAAAGCGGACACTAGCCATAATTTAGTTATTATACGCCCCACACCTTGACTTCTCTCTCTACTCTGTACACTTCACTATGCAGAAGTTAGCAGCCCTGTCCCCCTCAGGCATGTAAGAATACCAATACATTGTTAACTGTTCTCTGGCTTCTCATCCAGATCCCCCTTTGGGCTGTCCAATGAGTCACCCAAGTAAGAGCCATCCGGCTGCCGGATACATATGTTTAAGTTTCTGGAAAGGAAAGTTTCCTGGAGGATCCACAAACATAAACATATGAATATATCAGAAAAGAATATAGGGTGTTTGTGTTTTGAGATCAAATTTTGATAACTGGAGCAGAGAGAGCAACATCATTATAACAAAAGAAGACATATAACTCAAACATATAACCTGATCACTAGTCTCTTGGCCCTCTGAGTGGAACAGAATGGGCCGACAACGCTTGTCCTCATTCATTAGGCTTGAATTCTGAAAATGAGTCACAAGGGCAGCTTTGCCCTGGATTCGTGCATATGCCAATGAAGCAACTTTTTCACTGTTGAACTTCTCCCATTTCTTCCCATTAAATGCCTGCACCAATTTAATGGTTTGAGTACTATCGTAAACATTAAATTTCTCATTAGTTTTCACTCTGACTGATGAATTTGAACATTCTCAAATTGCCAATCAAATATCAAGAAAAAGTTCTTCGGCTCAAGCTAGTGAATAAAGCACCCAAATACAATTTAACCAACAACAAACAAAGGGATAAAATGGCCCAAAATTAACCTCATAAAAGGCTATAATATGGGAAGGAGACACCATATTGATGAAGGCATAACCCACATTGCACTTATTCTGCAAAGAGAGCAGAGTGCTGATTAGCATTAGATAAACTTGAGGAAATTATAGAGCACTCACATCAAATAGTAGCGCAAAGAATCACCTTAAAGTCGATTGGCAGGTAGAGAAAATCATATGTACCACAGTGATTTTCATCAATAGCAGCCAGCAGCATTTTTGAAGTGTACCTAATATGAGAAAGACGAGCAAAATGATAAAGGTATTCAAAATGATAGGAGTTGCAAGCATATACTTCCTAGGATGATTACAACTTTTTTTCTTACTTGTTCGGGATGTTTTTTATCATTAAAGTAGTCCTAATATCTTCCCCATTGATAATTTTATCCAAATCAAGTTGATACTGTTTTTTGCTATCTATTTGATTCCCAGTATTCTCAATTCGCCGACTTCTACTACGATCAGCCAACATTTCATTGATGGTTGCTGCTGGTCCAGTATATGAGCCATTCCCAAGGTACATAGGGCCATGCTTTGGCAATGACATCATTCTGAAACTAGGCGAGCTATTTTCAGTAATGTTTCCTGGAAGACCCACACCAGCACTCAATGTTGCACGACTGCCCATGTTCATCATGTAATTCCCACTGTTGCGACTTAAAGCCATGCCCCCAAACACTGGATTCATGAAGGATGTTTCTGGTGACTCTGGAAAAAAGCCAAAATGTCTATCCAGAGGAACACCAGATGGAGCAGATCCCACATGTTGGCTATGTGAACTCAGGAAAGAACCATGCCGGCTACCCAATGAAAAACCTTGTCCCTGTCCACTGGATGAAAATGGATTCCCCACAGATGAGGTTGGCCAGGCAGAAGAATTATGCTCAGCATAAGGAGTTGGACTTCCCCAGAGAAACTGAGGACCTGACAATGTTCCAATCCCTGCTGAATTTGAATTTGACTCACCAAATGAGATGGGACCTGGACTTGCACTTAATTTCTGCTCAGGATAGGAAAGGGAATGCTGATACCCTGCTCCTTGTGTTGATGTAGAGTTGCTATATATTTGATTTATATTGTTTAACCTTCCTTGATCTTTACCAATAGGCGCAATCTTTGGAGAGTTAGACGCATGAGCTGGGAGAATTGAAGCTAACCCAGGCAAATGGTTGCTGTCTGGACTGAGGCTTCCCAAACCTGGGGACTTACTGAAAGCTGGCTGGTTATGCTCAATGGGGCTTCCGATGTGTGCCCAGGTACCTATCACGGTAACAAATCAATTGTTTAGCTTCAGCAGCATGCATTCCCAATAAGTGCCAATCCAGCACTTGGTGAAAACAAGCACATCGGTCATTGGTGAGAGATCTACCTGGAGGAGAGTTGGTCAATGGTGAACCCACTTGATGTCGGAAACTCCGAGTTTCATCTTGTTCAAGCTCTTGAGTGAGTTGTTGCATCAAGCTAAACCCACAAAAAAAAGTGTGATGAATTAATTCCTTGCCCAGCTTAATTATTTAATAAAAAATCAACAGTATTTCTGTAGTAGTGGGATTCAAGAAAGGTTATATAATACAAACAGAGTCAAAATATATAAAGGATAGTAAGATTCAAAGGAAGAAGAAGCTTGACAATTCATGAAAATATGTGTTGCAAACTCTCCATAAAATAGGGGGGCAGCATCTAAAAATTCTATACATGGCACAGGATCTATGTATTGATTTTTTAATAGGTAAGCAAAGGGGGCTCCAAAAGAACATCCCCGGATAAGATTCCAAAGGGTCAAAGGAAGCCCAGCCCAAATCGAATGTGTAACCATTAAATTTGAATCAGAGCTTTAATCTAAGACTCCACTTCACAGGATGGAAGTTACCTCTTGAAACACATTTATTTTCTGTGGATAATTATTTTTTGAAGTCAACTAAGCAGCCAAGACTGTAAAAAAATATTTTTCAGATTATGCCCAGGAATCTGACAATCTTGACTAAAGTTCTCATGAACACTTCACGTTGAACTTCAGTAAAATATTTTTATTTGATGCGAACATAAATTTTTGCATACAGTAATTGCCAATGGAGGATTTGGAAATTTGATTTTTGTGTGTGACATTTAAAGGGAAAAATTCAACAAATGAAAGCACCATTAGTCAAATAGGCAACATTACACTTACAAGATCCAAGGAAACCTTTCGCCTCACTATTTGTCACCCTCATGAAATTAATGGATGATGAAATTCAGGGCAATACAAAATGTCTAAACTCATATTGCAAATTGTTGCAGAACCCAAAGTAAATTGATACTTACGTTCTACGTGCTCCACCAGGGCGGCTAGGTTCGAGCTTTATGCGTTTCCCAGCTATGTCACTCCTATTTAATGCCCGCAAAGCTGCCTCTGCAGCTCTAACATCATAAAACTCTATGAATTTATGGTGTCTCTTGTGTGGTGTTTCCCGAATCTGCATTTTGTACTCATGGAATGTTAAATATCAGACAACCAATCAAGATAATAAAAAGGTGCACAACTGCACATACAAAACAAGAATGCTAACAAAACGACATACAACATTTATGCACTAAAATTTACCTCTTTGACTTCTCCATAAGCCCCAAATATCTGTCTAAGGTCATCATTTGACACTGATGCATCCAAATTGAACACCACAAGAGTTCCTTGGTTGATATCCTTTTCTGACGGGTTATCCTGGATTTCAGCAGAGAACAGGACGCATTACGAAGATGTTGAATGAATAACTAGTACAATACCAAACTACTATGGATAACATCTATTCAAACCTTAGGAATTGAAAAATGAATGTCAAGTTTCCTTCGTCTCAAGGGCTTGTTCTGTAATGCACGCATTGCAGTGCGAGCAGCTCGGATATCATAGTAAGATATCATCACAAAGCCCCTATGCTTGCATGCAGTGTATAAAGTTCTGATATCCCCATATTGCTAAGGAAAAAAGGGATGGGTCCATAAATCAATAAGAATCAAGAGTATCAAAGTGCAGACGAAAAGTTGCCATACACACCAAAAATATATATATAAAAACTCAAAAAACACTGCCGATACCAATTACAAACTTACTGTTTCCCATACACACCAAGAGGAAACGCGCGCGCGCGCGCGAGAGAGAGAGAGAGAGAGAGAGAGAGAGCAAGGGCAAAGAAACCAGTGCACCAAATACATTATCTACCAAAAGATTATGTTGCAAAGAAATTCCCACTGACAAGAACAATGTTGGCAGTGG